GGTTATATGGGGTTCAAATTGTTAATGGTATGAGGGACCCGAGCAAAGCATGGGCTTCAAAATTTAATTTCACTAACAATGTAACACAAATTCATAAAGTTCCGGAAGTGGGGTCAATGAGCCCTCTCTTTCTAATTTCTAATTATAGAAAATATTGAAATTATTGAAAGAGCTTTTGCCCACGGGGAAAGATTTCTTGTTTCAAGCTCATTAATTAATTCTGCATTTCTTTTCTAGATTTGACAACGACCACTCTTTTTCTTTTTATAAATGAACTTGTAACACGTATATATGTGCACTGGTTAAATTTTATATTTCTAGTGATGGAGCATAGTTTGCGGTTTCAAGACTTTTCTTCAAACTCTACTAGTTCAACAGTCAGAAAACTCATCTATTGTTGGGTTTAGAGTTGGTCGAGACGAACAAGACGACGGGAAAATCATGGACAGAGAGAGAGAGAGAGAGAATTCGAAAGAAAGTATAAAATGTGTTGTTGATTGTATTTGCATGAACTTGGTACGGTGTGTTACATGTTGAAATTTGGTGCAAAATTACAACAAATGGGCTTTTATAAAAAGCCCAATTTAATACTTGACGTCAATTGAGTTTATAAACGAATTCGGGCTTCACAAATTAAAGCCCAATTTAATACTTGACGTTAATTGAGTTCATAAAAAAATTCGGGCTTCACAAATTAAAGCCCGACAAAGGCCCAACACAGTTCTTATCGAAAATCTCTCCAATTTAATTTTTTTTTTAAACAGTAGTCTCTTTCTTTGTCTGCGTCTTTCTAAATCAGGCAACATTCAACAGATCTCGCCCAAATCAGGTGACCTCCTTCTCTCTATCTCTTCTTCGCGCACGCACGAACACAATCATCGGACGAAATGGATGTTTGTTGATGAACCGTTTATTATTTTATTGTTAGTTTATTGTTAAATTTGTTGATTCTAGGGTTTGAACATTACAACTGCGGGAATTTTCGATAAAGGATTGGAATTTAGGTATTTTGCAGCTGCCATTGTTGTTTATTTTGTAGCTCGTAATATAATTGATGGGTTTTTTTCGCGATTGACTTTAGAACACTTTGATCACAGCGTTGATTCATATGTATAAGTACGGAGATAGTTTTCTGATTTTATGGTTTAAATAATAATTACTTTGGGAAATTCTTTATTGTGTATTCCAATTGTCGATGCTGTAAAGGTCGAGTCTTCTAAACTCTTCTACATAGAATCGTTTTTTTTTGTTCGAGGGTAAGTGGTAAAGATTATTAAATCGTAAAATGTGCTACTTGGTTTCGATTTAATTTTTTATACAATGTGAATTTATCCGTGTCCGCCTCGCCTAAAAGTGTGAGTTAGAGTGACGTAGTTGTTATCTGCATATGGTGCTGTGTTATTCGAGTTTTTATCGTATTTTCTTTTTCTTTGATATCCGGTGATCATGAAAGCTCGTTTCTTTGAGCTTCTTTTTCCTGCATCCTTTGCTCAAAATCTCACGTATGTAATAGATGCATTTGCCTTTAGTTGTTTGTTACGATACTTTTGAAATCGATCCTTCGTCTTATTGAGTTTCTATTTTCATTTTGTTGAAATATTGTCAAAAACAAGAAAGCATAAATGTAATGAAGACTGATTTTCACTTTTGTCGTGTCCACCATTCGATGTACAGCTGTTTGTTCTACACATTGAAAGATGGCTAAAATGGATGTCGAGGAGCTAAGACAAATGGAAGATGACGAGACTCCTACGATGAAAACTATCAAGGGGGCAACAACTGGACTTGTAGCTGGCACTGTTTGGGGTACAGTCGTTGCCACCTGGCACGATGTGCCTCGTGTTGAGAGGCGAGTCGCACTTCCGGGTCTGATCAGGACACTTAAGATGATGGGCAATTATGGAGTCACGTGTGCTGCCATAGGTGGAATCTACATCGGGGTCGAGCAGATAGTGCAGAAATACAGGATGAAAAGAGACTTAATTAATGGAGCTGTTGGTGGATTTGCTGCTGGTTCCACTGTTTTGGGTTACAGAGGTAATAAATTTTCTCCTTTTTTTGCAAGTTTGATTTGCATGTTCTTGAGACTCTTGACATCGACATTCCGAAGCTTTTGCTCTTATACATCCTAAATTATTGAATAATGACGAGGTACTAGTTCAAGGAATCTGATGTTTTCTGTTGATTGTCTTGTATTTAATGTGTTTTACGAGTCAAATTAACAAGCAAAAACTCGTTTAAATGGTTGAATAAAATATATACGTCGGCAGTCCGAAATCTGAAATGTGAAAACGCATAGTCGTATATTGTTTAGGACTCGTTTTGGTTCACAAGATAAGATTATGCAATCTTATAAGAACCTAATTATACAATCCCCCAATTAAGATACGCTAAGGCTTCGTTTGGTTGGGGAGATTAACCATGATTAACTAAATAATTGGAATTTGTTTGATGTTTGGTATCCCCAATAACTTGCCGGGTCGACCCGCAAATATGATGTTATCATGCCTTATCTTGCTTTTTAGTCATGTTTTTTTTTATTGGATCTTCCAAGGTCCAATAAAACAATTCGGTTTCATTAGATTATTTAGTCTTATCTTGGCTAATCTTATCTTGGCAACCAAACGAGGCCTAAGATAAGATCTCAATTTTCGATAATTGTGGGTTGGCCCGAAAAGTTATTGCACTTGTTAAACATCAAATAATACCTAATCATTGAATTCATGGCTTATCTTAACAGCCAAACGAGGCCTAAAACTGAGTTGTCAAGATTTCTTATCTCTCTACACATTACCTTGTATTTCTAATTATCCTTCATACAAGACCTATTATGCTTGAGATAATTGTCGGTATTTTGCTGTGAGACTTAAAAGTTTATCTAATCGATGTTCGATTAATTTACTGTAATTTATGCAGCAAAGAGTGTTTCGACTGCCATGGCAGCAGGAGCTGCACTTGCATTCACCTCAGGCTTCATCGATTCGGGAGGTCAGGCTAGGAGAGTTGATACCGGCAAGGAATATTATCCTTACACCACTCAGAAAAGGCCTAATGTTAACTAACTTGTTCAAAGTGTCGGCGAACTATGGTTGCTTCGTTTTTCGTACCTTCACATATGTTGAATGGATGGGCTCAATAAATTTTCTGTGTACTTTCTTTAGGGTTCACTAAGATGCCTGCGATGATACGGTTAAAACCGGTTGGCATGTAAAGTTGATGTTTTTTGAAACAATTTTATTTGAATTGCAGTGAGATTATATTATTGTTGTTGAAAATATGAATAATTGCTTGTTGCTCAATGGTTTGCCTGTACCCTTTTTTTTTTTTTTTTTTTTTTAAATTATATTTTAATTTCTTGAGCATATTCTTTGTTACTACTTACTAGGAGTAATTCTTTCCCATTTCTTGAAATTAAATAAAAAAATATTTAAATAAATATATTATAGCCATTGCATCTGCAGCTAATATTTCCACTGATTATACGCGAAGCAAAAGAATATGCCAATTAATTAAAAAGGAGAAATCCAAATAAAGATATCCAATCCTATTACATTCTCCCTATTTCCACGTGGCAAGAACCCATTCACGCTCTTAAATTTCATTGGACCCTTGATTGCAACTCTAAGCAAAGAAACATATCATATCTGCTCCTAGAGAGAGACATTTTTTTTGAAACTTTAGAGAGAGAGAGAGATATGGCAGGGATAGCTTGCTGTTGCCCTTCAACACTCTCCTCCAGAAGGTAATTACCATTGCTAACTATTTTACAATGTCACTATATATATGTGTGTGTGTGTGTGTGTGTGTGTGTGTGTGTGTGTGTGTGTATATATATGTAGATGATGGTCATATAAATAATTAAGATGAAATAGGAATGTGGTTACAGAAATGTGGCAACAACATGTTGGCTGGTTTCACAAGGAAGAAAGCTGACAGGGAAACAATTTAAGACAAGAAGTTTGGCAATAAGAGCAGAAGTCGATTTCGTCGATTCTGAAGAAGCTAAGAAACTTATTGCGGTTGAAGGATACGCAGTTGTCGATGTTCGAGATAGAATTCAGTTCGAGAGATCCCACATTAAGGACTGCTATCACGTTCCCCTCTTCATCGAAAACAAAGACAACGATTTCGGTAACTAAGCTACCTAATATTCACATACTTATTCGTCCGAGTTTCGACAACTTAACTAATTCAATTGTTATTTTTTGGCCTAACAGGAACAATAATATATCGGCAGCTGCACAACAATTTCTCCGGTTTGTTCTACGGTTTGCCTTTCACTAAACCTAATCCGGAGTTTGTCGAATCTCTCAAGGGCAAGTTTTCGCCCGACACCAAGTTGTTGCTTGTTTGCCAGGAGGGTCTCAGGTGATCTTCTTGATTCATCGATTAACAATGTCGAGTTCGAATTATCGATTTTAAATTTTTATGTCCAAATTTTAGTTATTTCTCTTGATTTTATATTCTAATATTTATGAAAACTGAATTTTGTTGTTTTGAACCAATTTTAAGGTCTGCTGCTGCTGCTAACAAGTTAGAGCAAGCTGGTTATGAAAATATAGCCTGTATAACTTCTGGGCTCCAATCTGTACAACCTGGTGATTGTTTTTTATTTATTTTTTTATTTTTATTATTATTTACGTAAATAATCCATTTTTTAAGGTGTGAGTATTGATATAACGACGGGGGAAAAATCTCGACTGCAGGAACATTCGATTGTGTCGGTTCGACGGAGCTGCAAAATGCAGGAAAAGCTGGTTTAGTTCAAATACAAGGCAAAATTTCAGTCGTACTAGGGACTGTTCTCATCAGTAAGTCGTAAAACAAAAACTCAAACGTCCGATTTTCTGTCTGTTCATAAATACATTTCATTTATCGTTGATTGTTCGATCATTTTTCAGGTGCATTTCTATTCATTACTTTCTTCCCAGACCAAGCAGAGAAGATAATTCAGCTCTTTCCTTCAACCTAAGACTTCGATATTTTCCATGTAAAACGAGAGGATATTATTAGATTTTTGTTGAACGAAAAAAGTCGGAATATCTTGCTGTCCTGATGAGAGTACAATATTTGAACACCACAAGGGGAAAAGAAAAAAAAAGGATGTTGTACATATTAGAAATCTCGAAATAACGTTGTTTCTCGAGAACTACGGCATCATTCATTAGCAAACTCGAAGTACAGATTTACTAGATCACAGCTCATATATTTGAACGAATTTGGCGTAGCTAACACGGCAGCTTTGAAGTCCCAGCATTGAAAAAAAATGGCAGGAAAGGATGTTGAAACTGATTGAATATTCAAGTAAAACTCCGTTTCTCTATTTTTTTCTGTTCCGCGTACAGCATATGCACTTATTCGTGTAAGCAATAAAGCTGCCGTACATTTCCTGATGCTGTCCATTTATATTTATAAAAAAAAAAAAAAGTGAGTGCCATATTCAATAGGTATTCATTTACGAAACAGAAAACATAAAAAAGCTAAGCGTAAAACAATTTCACTGAGGTAGCATTAACAAATTTAGAGGCATTACCGTATAACCAGTCCTTAAAACACGCATGAAGAGCACCCGATAATTCTCGTTTCCTGCTCTCTTCAAGTTGAGTTTCCCTCAGAATTTGCTTAACTTCTTCCAAGTTTTTGTGCTGAGGGTTTAGGAACAAAAGAATCAATAAACTCATATGATACTCGAGTCAAAAGAAAAGAATAGCTCAAACAAATAATGAGGCCCGGAATAGAAAATACTTCAACGTACATTTTTCTGTTGCGATGCAAGGTAAGGATCAGGTAAAGTGAAGGGGTTATCTTTCGTGGAACCAGCCTGCTCACTTTCCGACCAATTAGGAATCTGATGATTAAAATGAATATTAGTATATTCCAAAATTTACTTAATGCAAAATAGAGCCTGGATAAATATGGCCATGGCCATACATAAAACCAGAATCACACTGAAATGATTCAAGGTTTTGAGACCATTTGAACAATAATTACTGAAAACCAGTATAAAAATAAGCAACAACACGAATCCATTGTAATATAACATCAGATAAACAGGCCACCGAATAAAGCACTTACCACAAAATTGGTATAATGATCTGGATCCAGACGCGTGGCTGATTCGGCTTGAACATCCGAGACCCCAGCAGAATGGGACAATGAATCATGTGGATCGAGCACTCCTAGTGCTACAGATTCATCCCACTTGTTGATATTAGGGTTAATGTTAACTTGGTTCATGTGCTCCTCCAGTTGCGAGTAGAATGTGTTAAAAGGAGCCACCTATTGAGTATTAAATCAAACAGTAAAAAGATGAACGAAAAAAAATAAATACCAAGTGTGAAAGCTCAAAGGAATATGATGGGAATCACAAAGTCAGTAATTATATTGAGGGTTAAGACGATATAGGTAGTTTTAGCACTCGGTATTTATTACACAAACTCATTATAATTACCACTTATTAACAAACTCATTAATTCATATATGCATGAATCCATAAATGAAACAGAGGAGCATTGCACATAAACATGAAATAAAACTCACCTGTAATTTATGATTATCACCAACAATGAGGGGTTTCTGGTTAACCCCCAAGAAGAATACGCATTCGCGGCAGTTGGCAATGCAGATACGTTTGGCTGCAGTGATCAGATGAACACGTTCACAATGTTCAATTCTAACAGCCTGCATGAGACAATTATTTAGGCATATGTAAGTTCTACTTTCACCACAGGAAAATCTAAACTATGTCACACTAAAGAGAACGGATCGAGAACTATTTCGAAAGGAATGACCACTTTCTATGTGGATAGTTAACCATAATCTTATTAGCTCAGCATGCATCAATAGTTATATGACCATATTAATAATAAAAATATTAATTATCCGAATATTACAAATGGAATCGCATTGCTGTTTTAACCATATGACTACCTTGCCAACAGCTCCAAGGACAATAGTCGCATCAGAGCATCCATAGACTGTTGCATATCTAAGTGGTGCCAAGATGTAAATCACCGACTCATTGCAGTTTACAACCTGAGCAAAAAATTGAAAGAGGTGAGAAAATTCCTGGTGCGAATTTCGATATGAATTCAGATGTATCAAAAACGTAATATAACTACGGAAAAGCACCAAAAGCTATCCAATAAGTAGTTTAGCAGCGGGAGCCAGATTTTTGAAATGCAATGGCGAGAGGGTAAGGCTTAAAAGGGGATACATCATCAATTAACCATTTAACTACCATCTCATGGTAAGTAAAAGTGGAAGATCTCATTCTGACAGGAACACGTACTCTATCGCGCATACAAGTAAAGCTCAGCTCAGTTCATTATATCTACCTCTCAGATAATAAAATTCTGTCCCTAGCTTTGCAATAGAATTCACGGTTCACATAACTTTGTTCATTAAATAAATTAACCGCCTTTTAATGGGACCCTGAAGATAACTCAAGTGAACACCGTGTTCATGCAAACTATTTTCCGCAAATTTCTAGCTGAAGTTTCAAAATAGTAAGAAAAAAAAAGAAGAAACAAGATAGAAGAGTATATCTAGGGATATAGAACAGTTTGCACCTTTACAGATGTGCCCTTAAGATCAGACGCTTGCTTTACGTATGAAGATTTGGAGATTCCCTCGATCAAACTTGGACCTCTGGGACTGGTTGAGGACTTGGCAGAACTTGTGCCAACATCAGCCATTGTGATATCCTGATCAGAAGAATTACTTGGCCCGTTTTCCTTTAGAGAAACTCTATCAGCTATATTTTCCAATGTAGAAGATATATTTTGGAGAAGCCAATCGAGAACTTGTGATGCAGGAACTGGAGCAGCGGGCATGTCGGGATCCGAATTTGCGAAAAACGGAGTATTCTGGCTCAAGGGAATCCTCGGAGATCCCCTTTCCCCAAAATAAATCAGTAATCCAAGATGTTCGAATTTGTCCATGGATAAAACCTGAAATGAAGAATCAATCTACATTATAAATAAAAAAACGAACTCACCCCATCTGATTACATAAACCAGTTCTAAAAGAATGCAGAACGAGACATCAAAATTACATACCATAGATTCATCACCTTCCCCTTCTGCAATGTCTGCCAAGAGAGATACAATATTGCCTATGTGTTTCTGAAGATACGATAGCTGATGAGCCTCTTCGTCAGCTTGAGACGGCATAAACCTACGACTGTTGCTTCGCACTAACTGCAACAGGTATACCCATACTTGTTAGATTTGCTCGTAGAGTAAAGCATTAATGGACAACATTAAGGAACTAATAACTTAATTGCCATCTATCACACATTTTGGAATCCAACTTAAGCAGAAATTTGGAACTAATTACACGGAAGTCGGAATACTTCCCAAAAACAAAACATTTATGAATCCACTTTGAATATATCTCGTGTCTATGCAATGAGGTACATCCTACAAAGATGGTATATAGTGAACTAAAAATAAACTCGTTCCTTTCGTATTTCGATGCAAAACGCGCAGTCAGTTCTCACATATAAGTTATAAGTTATAACACATGGCGTAACATGCTAACAAACACTTGGAAGAACCAACTAATTTAGCAAAACAATAAATATAAAAATACAAACTAGCCCAATTCGCACACTCACAACCCTAATTGACCCCCATCCCACCACCCCCAACCAAAAAACAAAAAACACCATTCAGTAAGCAAGTCCAACCAAACCCGACGGAAACACCGAAAAATCTACAAATTAGCAAAATTCATCACCTGTAAAGGCGACAGCACAGATAAAAACCCATCAAAAGCGGAAGTAGACGGCCAAACATCGGCCACAGCAGCAGAATCCTTATGTCCTTTTGGCAACAACCTCTTGTAACTCTGTATACACAAAAACACAAGCAAATCGAACACATTAACCCCAATTTCATCTACTTCTTCCGAAGTACTCGCCGTCACCAAAGGATCGGAATCGTCATACAAAACCGAGGATAGGGTTTCGATCACAAGGCGGGAATGTTCGATGGGGATTTGAAGAACTCCGGCTAGATTTTCCGAGCTGACTCGGTGATTGGAATTCGATGCGAGGAGAGTGGATTTGAGACCGGAAAGGGTCTGTACGCCGTCGTTGAAAATGAGTTTGGGGATGGGGAGAAGGCCGTGCTCGAAGGGCTCTCGACGGGGGTGGAGCTGGAAAGTGGAGGCGGCGGGTGTGGATGGTTGTGGGGGCGGTTCTGGATGTTGGTCGGCGGCTGCGGAATCTGTCATCGCGGCGGCGCGTGAATCTGGGCGGAGCAAAAATGAGTGTTATCTTTGCTGGAGAATTGAAATTGAGCGTAAAGTAAGTGGGGTTGCTATTTTCTAAAATTGGAAAAATAATTCTGGGCGAAGTAAGTGATATACGGGTTCGGGTCGACCCGGGTTACTTATATCGGGTCCCCGCGCAAATGGAATGACAAGGACGGGGTTTCGGCCCCCAATTATCATCAAAACAATTTCAAAACTATCACTGAAATAGCGACTTTCGTCTTATTCTGGCAAAAAAGACATAAAACCGTGTTTCCAACTATAATAGATAACAAGTTTGTGGGGATATATGTGAATTACTTAAATACCTAATCGAGCACCAAATTTACAATTAGATACAGATTTTGCAGATGTTACACCCAAATCAAAAAAATCTAATTTCTATTTTGTTAAGAAATTAGAATATTCAGAACTTAATTAAAGAAAAATACTCGGATCGAAATCGAATTGGAAATTCAATTTTTTTTCTTCAAAGATAAATACCTTATAATACCGACGTTATAAACATTTTGGTGGGAAAAATCGAAAATTTCATAATTATTTTTTCTAGGTTTAAAATTTTACAAAATGATCAAAATACAGAATGTACAGATCACTCGCAATATATTGAATTTGATGAAAGCAATATTAAAATGCCTGAAATTAAATAATTTGAATTTATTGGGCTAGATGGTTGTACAATTTGGATTAAAAAAAGAAAAATAATAATAATACCTTATATTGGGCTTCTATTTGTGAAGCCCATTTTGATTTCTCGATGAACACTAAATCAAATCTAAGTTGGGCTTTTAATTTGTAATGCCTGAAATTCGAGCAGTATATATAAATTACGAAGAAGCTGATAATTTGCAGTGATTTTGTGCTTAAAAAAACCAGAAAATTTCCAATTAGAAGAAATGCAAAATCAAGACGAAATTCGGAACCTGCCGATCGACATCGCATACGCTCGCCTTGGAGGTAAGTTCATCAGCTCCCATTCACACAACTTCACTTCAATTTTTTGTTTTTTTAATTTTTTTTAATCAGAATTTGGAAATTTGTGAAATGGAGAAGAAATTGATGTTTATTTTTGGTTGAATTGAAGAATGGCTGGTGGATCGGAAGAGAATTCCGGTGGATTGGAGGAAGCGTATGGCGGCTGTGAGGGCGAAGATCGCCGCCTCTTTTGCTTCTCTGCCCAAAGACATTGATCCTTTCTTTCAAACTCTCGACCCCGAAGGTTTTTTTAATTTCATGTTCATTTTTTCCTATAAATCTCAATTTTTTTTTTTTATCCTTTTTAAATCAACTACTTAATTAACTCGAGTAACTACTAATTTTTTTAGGAATGAAATTTTAACTATTTGTGCGTCTGGGAGAAAAATGGTTTGTGTTATGCAAAAGGCAGATTAGCTTATTCTTCCCGAAATTACCTTCGAAAAATTCAGAGCTGAAACTGTTTTTATTATTTTTTTTAGTCAATAATTTGTAGATATGATTTTGATAGGTTTTAAAATTATAATTATGAGGAATTACTTCTGTGGTGGTGACTTTATCTCTTTTTTCTAATTGTAAAATACTTCAGGGATTGGCTACCGGAAGCAAAACAAATTTATGAAATTCTTGTAAAGTCAACCCCGGAAAGCCGTAATCTCTTTGGCCGGCTTTCAGGTGCTGCTGTAAGATCTCCAGAAACTCTCTCTCACACACACACACACACGCATCATAACATCTTTCTCGAGTTTAAACAGTTTATTTATACTTTATAGTTATGTTTCCCATATTTTACAGGGTGATTGGGAGACAATTGTGCGTGCATATGACAAAGATCATATATTTCTTGGCGAGGCTGCTCAGATAATGGTCCAAAATGTGAACTACGAAATGTAAGAAAACTTATATAAACATTGCATTAGAGGCGAACTTACTTTATTACGTCTATGTTTATTGAGGGTTCTCTTTCATGCTAAAGCCCGTATCAGAAGAAGCAAGTCAACAAGAGTCAACAACAGCTTGCAGAATTAGAACGAAGGGAAGCTGATATAAAAAGAAACGCAGCTCTTTCAGCAGCCAAATTTTCAGAGGCTTGTCAAGAGCTAGGGTTGCAGGTTTTGATTTTGCTTTACGACTGTCTATTTTTCACCATTTCCATTTGTATTTGTTCTTTCTGCTATCGACTCACCGCACGAATCTGGTCTCTACAGGGTATTAATGTCAGGTCAGAGTTGTTAGAAACAGCTGTAACATCTCTTCCCAGCACTTTCAGTCAGATATTAGAGCTATTGAACACTGATTCTGTTTCAAAGGCCATCGAGTTCTATTCTACATTTGTTAAAGATGCTCATACAGACAAGGATGTAAGAAACTTTTCGAATTCGTTCCTTGTTCTTACCTGACTTGCCTCCTGTTTCTCAAACCTATTATACGTTTGCAGAAAACACCTGGCTCTGTTTTGTCAAGCTTGATTTATGTTCGTGAAAATCGCCCTTCTCTTAATGTTTCTGTGAGCTCTGAAGTTTCTGATGCTGTTAATGTTCAAGTATGTGCTGATGAACCTGCACTCATAACCGAGGAAGCTGACTTTGCAGCCGAAAACATTGACTGGGATATTACTATGGACAGCTCCCAGATTGATTGGGATATTGGTACCGTTGAAACAGAAGATAATGGCAATGGATTGGGTCCATATGAAATTGTAAATGCTAGTGATATTGAGACTCATCAGATTTCTGATAGCATAGAAGAACCTGTAATTCCAGATGTCTCTGTGTCGGAGATTTCTTGGGATATAAGTGTTGATAATCCACAGATTGATGGCCTTGGAGACGCTGAATCGTTAATCGTTCCCACAGGATCTGATTCAACCTTCCAATATTCTAATCCTGAAGCAATAGGAAGTAACTACGATAGGAGTCAGCTTTTGGAGACAGACTACAGAAACAAGATTCTGGATGACTTATTCGAGGTATCCTCTTTTCTTTACTTTTTTTTTTTTTGCCCCGATCTAACCTTTTTATTAAAACGGGAGGAAATTTGTTAGCGTAGCACAGCCTCTTCTGTCTTTTTGTTAGTCTACTGATTTTCTGCTTATCTTATGATTGACTTGTGATATTTATACCATTAGGCGAAAGCATTTCTGAATCAGAGGTTCCTCGAATTGACAAATGAAGAAACCTTATCTTTACAACATCAAGTCCAAGCAGTAGCTCCCTTTGTGCTTCAACAATACTCTCCTGAAGCAATTCAGACAATGCTGTCTGATATCTCTCAAGCCATCTCGAAATTATCGGATAGAAAAACTCGGGACCTGATCATGATACTCAATTCCAAAAGGTATCGTTATTCATTACACTAGCCTGGGCATAGATAATGCTTTCTTGCGTTACTGTATATTCGCTTAGGTTCATTATGTTAATTGTCTGAATTTCAGATTTTTGGATCGTTTGGTAAGTACACTGGAGGAAAAGAAGCACCACGAGGTGAAGTTAAAAGAAGGGTTAAAAGACATTTATAACAAACGTGTGGAGCTGCAAAATTCGCTGTCTTCTTCATGGCCGAAACAAGTGAGTTCATCTTATATAGTGCAATTCGGTGTTTAATGGGCTGGGTTGAAAGAGATATAGTTTACTCTCTAATGTTAGGTTACGGAAGTGGAATCGATGTTAGCTTATTTAGGTTTTATAGTTTACTTTCTGAGAATACTTTGATTTAATAGTTGGATTCAGTGGGTAGTTTTGTAGTCTAAAAATAGATACTCTGGGAAAGACAAGTGAATGGCTACTAAAATTCGTAAACTATTATTTTGCAGGAAGCAGCTCTTGTGAAAACGAGAGAGTTGAAGAGACTTTGTGAGAGTACCCTTTCGAAACTGTTCGATGGAAGACCTGTCAATATCATTGGAGAGATTAACTCATTGCTCAGTAGTGGCTTAAATGTATAACTTCCCCATGCAACCAGATGTTCGTCGTACCGAACAAGAGCAAACGAAATGGTTTCGACATTTGCATAAAACTTTTGTTCCTGCTAACATTAGTAGCTGACCTTTTGTATGTTACTGAATTACATATTGTTAGTACTGTTTTTTTTTTTTTTTGAAACTGCTGCATTGTCTTAACCTAAAGAATTGGGTGCGACACAGTTTGTGTATTTTTAGTTTTATGCTACATTATTTCACATCAATGTGATCAGGAGATCAAAATGTATGTTATATTGACTCTTACACGGAGTAGCAGCTTAGAGTAGGTGATCCACAGAAACGGGTATTGGTTGACCTAAAAGATCGATCGAAAGAGTCGGGTTCAAGGCCATCTGGGGCAATTGGCTTTTGCAGCAGAAGCATCAAAGACTTGGCAACTTCAGACATGGTGGGCCTGAATTCCTGCTCAGGCTGCGATGATGCATTTTCAGACGGTATAATTTTATGTAATAATAGAATATGGTATTTTTACTTAATGGCGTTTTTTGAGGTTTTTACGTACCTGTATACATGGGGATATGATGTCAGCGAATCGAGAGGCAGATTTGGAGGAGATTGTTCTTATAATAGCTGGATCAACCATCTGTCCTAATGATGTGCTGTCATGAAGTTTCGATGAAGCCCATCTCGTCAACGATTGCTCTGCTTTTGGTCTTGAACTACACATTATATTTTATAGACAAAACAAAAAAATAAATGAGATATTTTTCTCTTTTTCGACTTATGCAAATTAAAAAAAAAAAAAAAAAAAACATCGAAAAAGTAAAACCGTAGTAGAATAAGATGCTTATACTTATCAAAAGGCTCCCTTCCTGTCAAAAGCTCCAAAAGCAGCACTCCAAAGGCATAAACATCAGCCTTTGTGTTACCACCAAAACCAGGTTGAGAATGCTCTGGTGCAATGTATCCACTGTCAGCAATTGCCATTTCAGAAGCCTGTTTATTAATTCATATTCATCACTTACATCACTACGAGACGTAAATAAAGAAATAAAATAAATAAAAACATGTACCTTGAGTTTTACTTTATTGCTGGAAAGAGGTCTCAAGATAGACAGGCCACAGTCAGAAAGATGGGGCATAAGCTCTTCATCAAGTAAGATATTTGCAGCCTTCAAGTTGCTATGTGCAAATGGTGGCACACAGAACGAATGCATGTATCTGAGAATATGAGAAAAAAAATATATTATAAATTTCTACCAGAAAATAAGTGATGGTATATTATTTGGAAACTGGAAACACAGATATCACACAATACTTACTCCAACGCTCTTGCTATGCCAAGAGCAATCCTTAGGCGTAGGCCCCACGATAGTGGCTTGTATGCAACAGAATGCAAAGCCTCATCGAGAGTCAAGTTCCTGATGAATTCGTATACGAGGAGATGCTGGTCCTGCTCCATGCAATATCCAAGAAGTGTCACGATATTAGGGTGCCTCAAACGGGATGCATTTCTAATCACATCGAAGAATTGTTGTTCTTCAATGATGGACAGAGGTACTGTTTTTATGTTCTTCACAGCCAAAATCTGTCAAAAAAGAAAAAAAACATGTCAAAAAAAATCCTATAAATTGAGTCAAATAGATCATTATTCATATTTCATAATATAAATGTATTGTACTACCTTGCCATCTGGAAAATCTGCCCTGTAAACATAACCAAGGGAACCCTCACCGATGAAGTTCTCTTCACCAAAGCTGTTTGTTGCCATTTGAAGCTCTGCTATTGTGTACAGTTTTGCACCAATTATCATTTTACTCCTGCCGAAATTTTTTCTCTTCGATGATTTTACCGTTCTAGTCTGAATAGGTGGCAAACGAGAAGGGGTGATCATTGGGGAAGAGCTGAATGCTGACGAACGCGGGCTGTCCCGTGTGGCCATTGATAGATAATCTATGCCTGAATAAAACCAAAAAAAAGGCAAAGGAAATATATGAATATCCATAAGACATCTCAATCATTGGTTTTATGTTTTGCTAAAACGACATGTGTTTCACCTCGGACTCTTCCGATTGGTAGAGATCTCATTGAGTCTTCACTGCTCTCCAAACTACCGAGTATTTTTCCATGTGAGCGGCGTTTGCGGACCACAAGTGCAATGGCTGCAAATGCTGCAACGAGAGCGATCCCACCAATGACTAGAACTACAGATGCTGCATGTGATTTTTTTGTCTTCTTGTGAACTCCTCCTGTTAACACTTGAGAAGGATGGCTTTCGATTGCACTTAAATTCGTTGATGGTGGACTGGTGATATTCTGCTCCTTTGGCATAATGTTGGAAGGAAATCTCCATGGTGGATAGTGTATTCCTCTGTCGAATTTATTGCCCCCAAACCTGAACAAATAATTGCAGAAATTAGTATGTGATAAGTTTCAAACTTATGAGGGGAATGCAGAAGCTTATAAAATGGATAACCTCAAGTTGGCTATAGTTTGAAACTTTTCTGGAATAACACCACTAAAATGGTTGTCCTCAATATTCCTGAAAAACAGAGTAGGTGAGAACATGAACAACTGTACTAGATTGGAATAAATTTTGAACTTTTAATGGAGAAGACGTACAAGTCAGTAAGCGATAGATTTGATAAGAAAAACACTGATCCAGTGAGTTGATTGCTCTGCATAAACCTGAAAATTATTACTCTTGTCATTTGATTGCATTTATTGATAATGTCCCATGATAATGAGGATATAGATGAAAAAGAAAACTCACAAGCCTGTGAGGTTTGTCAATGATCTGAATGAGGTGGGCAGATCTCCAGTGAAGTTATTGAACGACAAATCCCTGATGAAAGACGATTGAGATTGTGTTATTTTAGCCAAAGATGAGCATAATAAGCAGGTAAAGGGGCTTCAAGTCAAGCAAAATTTATCGAGCAAATCAAGAGATGAAAATCAATTCATCTATCAACCTAGTTGATAAGTTGTGGATTTATACTAATGATCCCAATAAGAAATATGGTATACTGATATGCTCACTATAACTTCAAATGTGAGTAAAACGAAAAAAATATAACTTACATTTCTCTAAGATTCACAAGGCCATTAAACAGATCTCCTAGGGGTCCAACTAAAATGTTGTGGCTCACGTTCCTGCAAGAAGTACAATACGAGTTGGATTATGAAATACAGATCATTAATACAAAAACTGATTGAAGTTGAAGGCTACTTACAGATGTCGAAGGTGTTTCATCTCCTCCAACGAGAACGGAATGCTTCCACTAAACTTATTCATAGCAAAGTTTCTGCATCAATTGTAGAAACAGGAAAAAAAAGATTATTTATTCTTGAAAAAACATATGAAGTTGCAACAAGCTAAGTGGACTGGTTTCCTTACAGGTGTGTGAGGTTCGGTGGTAAACTATACGGGATTGAGCCTTCAATGTTATTTGAACTAAGGTCCCTGTGAAAATGAAGTCCACACAGTTATAAAAAAAGGTTACAAGAATATATATAAACTACTGAACCTCAATTTCTTACATATGCTTCAAACTTTTTAGATTGGACAGCTGATACCCAAGATTTCCAGTGAGCTCCAGCCCGTGAAGTTGACTGAAAAAGGAAGAGGTTGATTATGAATATTGCACTTAGTCTAAGACATGAACTTACAACATGAAATAAAAATAACAAAGAAATTACAGGTTGATTATGGATGATTCGAAGCACTGAACTCCGATCCAATCTTCGTCACAAGGGTCTCCTCCTTCGGATTTCCAATGTACCAGCTGCTCGGACCTGTTCAGGGATCTGTACAGATCCCGAAGAGCTTGAACTGCATAATGCAAAAATTGAAGTTGTTGTACATTCAAATTAGGCTGCACTTTATGTAGTTTTTAAAAGGATGAAATCCAAAATGTCTACTAATTAAAAAAAAAAAATTCTGAAAAAAGTGCTAATGATCATAGTAATCAATGTCAGAGTTTAGACTCAGTTACTCATAATTGGGATAAGCAATCATTAACAGTGAACAGGAATACGAGATTGAAATAAAAATCTTTATTAATTAGTGATGATAAAGAACTAATTACCATCCGATTCATCGGTGATTGCCCAAGAATTTAGTCCCATGATTGCGCAGCAGAGAGTTACAATCAGCCAAAACAAGTGCTTAGTCATTTTTCTTCTTCCCCAAAAAAACACACTAAGAAATTATATGCCTCCAGAATTCCCCAGTTTCACCTAAAACCACAGAAAAAAAAGGGGGGAAATCATCAACACAGTTAAATAAAGGTAAAATATAAGTTTACAATTGTTAAAGCATAAAACAATGGGGGGAAGCTTCGTATAATGGCAAATGTAAAACTGAAGAAAAGTATTTCCAAAATCGATTCTGCTTCATCAAACTTCAGTCGGAATTCCAATTCAATCACACGCACAAACCCTAACAAATACCACATTACTTTTCCCTCATTACTCTGTGTGTGTGTGTTCTCGCGCAAAACACACACACACACACACACACACACAAATATGAAACGCCACAAGCAAATGTATACATTTCCAGAAATACATACAATAGCACTGTTAAACCCCAGAAAAAAAATCATCCAATAACCTGAAATTTCAAAGACGAAATTGCATTTTCCTCTGCGAAACACACATATACGCACACAGTACTGCGTGTACGATCGTATATATGTAATATATGTACGTATAGCTACGATATATACCTTGAGTAACAGCGGAGAAGCAGATACGAGCTGCCTTTAAGAGAGAGAAAGAGGCGGTTAGTTTTTTAGAGAGAGAAGAAAAGAAGCTGAGAAGGAAGTAAGAAGAAGAAGAAGAAACTCGCTTTGCTCAGTGAGGGAGAGTTGTAAACGGTTATGCATTTGCAGAACGCGTGCAGTTCACTGAGCTCAGTTGGGCTATAATCAGGTGTAGTTGCGCCTACAATAAACATATTAAATATGCAAATTAGTATTAATTAGACTTTGGCGAATATTTAATTTATAGAATAGAAGACAAATAATTGATAACCAAATTAATAATTGTACAATGACCAAAGTAGCCCCAGGGGCATATATACGTAATACTACATATCACTCAGAACTCCCGCGCAGCACAGTTACTCCATGAACTCCAAATAAACAAAATAGCCGTTGAGATTTTAACCAAACTTTACTCACGTGTCATCATCTTCTTTGTTTAGATCTTCAAAATTTCTTGATCTCTCAATAAATTTACTGTTTTTTTTTACTTTTATTGGTCGTCTTGTCAAGAATCCATATGAGAGAAAAGTCGAGCTTTATTATTTGCATGCTACGTGTTCGACGAATTGCCCAGTTGGGAATCACTTCTCATAAATGGTGTTGAACAAATATAAATTCTCTAACTGGCTGTTGCTGATGCTTTTTTCTGTTAAAATCTCATGTTAGTTTCACCTCTCAGTTGTGAAGTAAGTATTTGAAACCTCGGTCGGGTGATTAGTTCCGGTTTTAATGGGCTGAGAGAAAAAAAGATAAAAAAATGATATTCCTTGGTTTTAGTTGTTTATTATTTTCATCAAATAGATCCAACTGTCGATTGCAACTATCAACTATGGGGAGATCGAAGGAGGATGGGACAAATAACTGAAAAGTTAAATTATACAAGATGAGCTTCACATAGCTTGTAAAGAGTTCCATAGAGGTGTGATTGCTCGAATCGAAACTACGAGATGCTAATGACATAATGTAAGTTGCCTCCACTTTCTTGATTTTGGCATATACTGTGTGAAGTACTAATTTGAGCACATATTTTCTTCTCTCGAGCAAACGTTTTAGGTTGAACGTAAAATTCATTTCCATCATTTCTGTATTGTTGAAAAATTTATTGCCTGATTCACGATTTACTTGCTTAATACAATGTAGGAGTGGTTGGAATCTGCAGCTGATTTTAAGAGTTTGTATACTGTGAGGCATATGGACTTTTGGAAATATCTGCATTTTTCCTCAAAAAAATGATTAAAATTTTGCAGCCTACGCTAAAATATTCCTGTAGCCATGTCATCACCCGTGGCCTCCAAAATATCGCAAATCCTATTTTCGAGAATAGACAATCAATTAACGCTGACTTAAAATCCCTCTGCAAGCAAAAACATTTCAAAGACGCCCTTCGGCTATACGATGTTATAGAAAAGGGTGGTGATTGTATGGTAGATGCAAGCACCTTTACTCATTTGATCTCCGCATGCTCGTTTTTAAGATCAAGAGAATATGGAAGAAAAATCCACAACCATATTCTGAAATCCAACTTGCTGCCAGATATGATTCTCGAGAACCATATTGTCAATATGTACGGAAAATGTGGGTCGACAAATGATGCTAGGAAAGTGTTCGAAAATATGCCTGAAAGAAATGTGGTGACGTGGACTTCGTTAATTGCTGGATACTCACAGAACGGTAGGGATATCGAAGCCTTAAAATTGTATGTGCAAATGCAGCAGTCTGGTTTTACGCCAGATCACTTTACATTTGGAAGTGTGATTAAAGCTTGTTCGAGTATTGCAGATGCTGGTTTGGGTGGGCAGTTGCATGGCCAGGTAATCAAATCTGAATTTGGGTCCCACCTAATAGCTCAAAACGCTCTTATTGCAATGTACACCAAGTTTGCTCTGATCAATGAGGCGTGCGATGTTTTCTCGTGCATCGAGAAAAAGGATTTGATTTCATGGAGTTCGATGATTTCCGGGTTTTCAAAACTCGGTTATGAGTTAGAAGCTCTAAACTGTTTCAAGAAAATGCTCTCTCAGGGTAGCTACATTCCAAACGAGTTCATTTTCGGAAGTGTTTTCAGTGCTTGTGGCTCTCTCGTTCAGCCAGAATATGGGAGGCAGATACACGCGATAAGTATAAAATACGGGTTTGAAGGCGATGCTTTTGCAGGTTGCTCATTGACCGATATGTATGCAAAATGTGGCTTTTGGTATTCGGCAAAAACATCTTTCCAACTTATAGAAAATCCCGATATAGTGTCCTGGAATGCCGTTATATCCGGCTTTGCATATGGCGGTGATGCAAATCAAGCCATGGCATTATTTTCTCGAATGAGGCGTTTCGCCACGTCAGCACCAGATGACATCACAGTCCGTTCTTTGCTCTGTGGGTTCACTGAACCATGTACCCTCTCCCAAGGGAAACAGGTCCACTCGTATATTATAAAGATCGGACTAAATCTAGACATTCCAGTGTCTAATACTTTACTTACAATGTATGCTAATTGCTCAGGCTATATAGATGCATATAAAATGTTCGACGAAATTCAAAGCAACGCAGATTTAGTCTCTTGGAATGCTATTATCACTACATGCATGCACCAAAATCTGGTTACAGAAGTTTTCTCGTTATTTAAAATGATGCTGCTATTACACGGAAGACCGGATTATATTACTTTAAGTAATATACTAGGGGCTTGTGGAAAAGTTTCCTCTTTAGGAATGGGCGATCAAGTTTATTGCTGTGCGATGAAAAAGGGGCTCGACAATGACATAATGGTCACAAATGGATTAATTGATATGTATGTAAAGTGTGGATCAATCGAAAGAGCGAGAAAGCTCTTCGACTGTACAAGAAATACCGATGTTATCTCGTGGAGTAGTTTAATTATGGGGTATGCACAATTTGGTTATGGAGAAGAAGCGTTGAGTCTCTTTAAGAGAATGAAAGGTCATGGTATAAAACCGAACCAGGTAACTTTTGTCGGAGTTTTGACAGCTTGCAGCCATGTTGGACTTGTGGAAGAAGGGATGGAGCTGTTTGAGTCAATGGAACAAGAAAGCGGTGTGGGCCCCACAAGAGAGCATTTCTCGTGTGTGGTCGATTTGCTCGCTCGGGCGGGGAGAATCGAAGCAGCAGAAGCTTTTATTGGTCGGATGGGAATTTACGAGCCTGATATTGTGATGTGGAAGACTCTATTGGCTGCATGCAGAAATCGAGGGAATCTTGAAGTTGGAAAACGGGCGGCGGAGAATATTCTGAGAATCGATCCGTTTAATTCGACCGCTCATGTGCTGCTTTGTGGAATATACGCTTCGGCTGGTGAGTGGAGTGATGTGGCGGCTTTGAGAAGTTCGATGAGAGAGAAAGGTGTCCGGAAAGTTCCGGGGCGGAGCTGGATTGAAATCGAGGATCGAATACATGTTTTCTCTGCAGAAGATGGATTGCATTTTGAGAGGGGCAAGATATTTGAAGTGGTGGAGGAGCTTTGGTTGCAGATTCTTGATTATGGTTTTATCCCATTTTTGGATTAGAGGATATTTTGTAAGGTGTATGTATATAATGTTTTTTGCCCTAAGTCATTTAATTAGCTGTTGACTTATTGCCATTTTTGGCAATTTGTTCAAACTCAATGAATTGTTTTTTCTTTTCTTTTTTATAATTATTTTGTAGTCAGAACCAAAAGATTTAAATTTAATGAAGGGATCACTATTTCAAATACTGAATTTTGCTTACTTGAATACCAAAAAAATAAAAAATAAATAATTAATTGTAAATTACTTTAATGCCCTTAATGAAAATTAAAAACAAAAAAATATTACAAATACTATTTTTCTTTCTTAAATACCAAATAATCAAAAACCTAAAAAAAACATTTCCCTCCTCACTCACAAACCCCTCACCTCCTCCACCTCCTTCTTCTCCCTCCCCAAAAACCCTCCCAAAAAACCTCAAAACAAAAGAAATCAAAACCTTACACAACTTGCAAAATGGCGTCAAATGACAATAGAATGGTAGTCTACGAGCAAGGAGAACCCATTCAGGTATGTATTCATGTATTTTTTGAGCTAAAACATCGATTTTGAATTTTTTTTTTTTTAAAACTCGCCATGTATTTTCGACACATACAGGTCGAAAATACCCTTATTTTTCGACATGTATGTGTCGAAAACATAACAATTCATAATTTATACAATTTTCGACACCTAAGTGTCGAATTTTGATACAATTTTCGACACTTAAGTGTCGAAAATTACCCATATTTTCGACACTTGAGTGTCGAAAATGACCTCTATTTTCGACACTTAAGTGTCGAAAATATGGGTCATTTTCGACACTTAAGTGTCGATTTTGTTCATGTTGCAAATTTAGTTGTCTTATATTTTCGACACTTTTATGTAGATCGATTGCACCCATTCATTTACCACGTCAGAAAAATTCCCAACAAAAGAAGCTTTATTGGCATGGGTACATGAAGTATGTAAAAGAATTGGAATGGTGTTAATGATTGCGGGTTCGAGTGACGGGGATAGAGGACGTAGGACACCGTATGGGATTGTTGTGAGCGTGGGGGCCATTATGTTGGCAAGAAGGTACCAGGTGAAGATGATCAAAGACCGGGAAAAAGGAGCACCGGTTCAAAGAAATGCAATTGTCCGTTTAAATTGAAGGGGACAAGAGAACACAAAGATGATGAAAATGCTGAGTGGAAATTGGATGTTTATAGTGGTATTCACAACCACAACTTATTTGAAAACTTGCACGGACACTCTTATGCTGGAAGATTATCAAAGGAGCAGGTTTCCTTTGTTCACACTATGAAGAAAGCAATGGTGAAACCAAGGGCAATTCTAAGAGCATTGAAGGAAAAGGACCCGTCTAATGTAACTGGTATGAAGACAGTTTACAATACTATCTCTAAGTTAAATTTCAGTGAATTGGATGGGAGATCTCAATTGTAATCATTGTTCGTCAAGTTGAAAGAAGATGAATACCTCTCGTACCATAGATCGAACGAGTTGAATGCGATTACTGACTTGTTGTGGATCCACCCCAAATGCATTAAGTTGGCACAGTCGTATCCGTACGTATTCGTCATCGATTGCACGTACAAGACCAATCGTTACGGACTCCCATTTCTTGAGATTGTGGGTTTTACTTGTACCAACAAGACGTTCTCAATTGCCTTTGCATACTTGGATCACGAAAAGACGGAAAATTTCGAATGGGCGTTGCGTTGTTTGAAGGAGGCCATGACCAGTTGTCCTCGGCCTAATTGCATTGTAACAGATCGAGATTTGGGTTTAATGAAAGCAGTGGCCAATGTGTATCCATCGAGTCATCACTTGCTGTGTCGGTGGCATGTGAACAAGAATATAGTGGCCAATTGTAAGAAATTGTTCACAAAGGACATCACCAAATGGAAGCAATTTCAGTCGGTTTTTTCGGCTCTTATTGAAAGAAATACCATAGAGAAGTTCAATGAGGATTGGGAGTCAATGAAAAGAACATTTATCGGTTATTCTCAGGCTATAGCATATGTAGCTAATTCATGGTTGGATCCGTACAAGGAGAGACTTGTATCGGTGTGGACAAATAAGTGTACTCATTTTGGAACGTACACTTCTAATAGGGTGGAGGGGGCACACGGACGAATGAAAAGGGATGTGCATAATTCAACTGGCACATTTGTGGATTTGTATACGAAAGTCCACAACCAAATTGTCGAACAACACAATGATATCAAAGCTTCCTTTGAAGTAAGTAAAAATACTTACGAGCACACATTCAAAACGTTGATATACAATGAGCTTCGTGGAAGTATCTCAAAATACGCTCTGCAACTACTCAAAGTTGAGGTGGACAATGCGAAACTATTGCAACCGAGCGATATGGGTTGTAGTTGCGCCATCCGAACAACTCTCGGTCTACCACGTTGCCATGAACTTCATGAGTATGTTGTTGTGAACAAATGTCCTATCCCACTTGAGTTAATAGGCTCGTATTGGAAACACATGAGCATGGAGCCCGTCGCGACCACAGACCAAGTCATCCTACCAACCATCGACGAAGAATTATCGGAATACCAGAAGCTCTTTGAATGTGCCGATCTCAATGCAAAAACTCAATTGCGCAACCATTTGAGACATTTTACCCACCCAGAGAAGACTAACCTTACGGAGCCAAGTGAAAAAGTTGTCAGCAAAGGTCGACCGGCAAAAAATAGGAAAGACAAATCAAGCACTCGGGACAAATCACATTTTGAGTATGTGGAGCCAAAGAAAAAAAAATCGAAGCAAGCTAGTTGTTCTCCAAAGGTAAATGTCGCTACTATCGTCTCATTTCATTGAAGTTGTATTTTATAATTGTGCTGAGTAATGAAGTGTAATATACTGCAGCTTATACCTGTACTGATGAGATTACGAGGGCACTCGAATGATTCTATTAACACTATACCAACTCAAGAGTCAGGAAAAAACACTATACCGACGCAAGAGTCGTTCAAACCATTATTTGAAGATGCAGATGTGGGATTGCCACCAGGTTTGATCGGCAAGAATAAGTACATTGACACGATCCATCCACGATTTCGTATGCACGTTCGAGGAATCATCAATGTCGGTTCAGATGGACACTGTGGATTTCGGGCAGTTGCCTCTATGATGGGATTTGGAGAACATGAATGGGGTCGAGTGCGAGATGACATGCTACGGGAGTTGACTTCTTATTTTTCCACTTACACGACCATGCACCGTGGCGAAGAAACCGTTAGAAGCATGCAAGCTATTGTGAGTAACTGGGATAGTATCAGTGTCTCACGTTCCTTCCTCTATCGAGCGATCCAAAGCTTTTCAGCGAGAGACAAGAGCACGGAATGGCATTCGTCGACAACTGTCACTTCGTGCATGTTGTCTTGAACAACAATTGTCCAATACCTCCTATCGCCGATTATTGGTACCGATGTCATGATCCTAAAGCAGATGGTTGGAAGCCTGCAGAAATGGATGGTCGGATTACAGCATTCCGAGAACTAATAGGTCAAAATGTTGCCACGCGAGAGAGTTTCGAGATTATTACTATATCAGACAATGGTGATAGTTCTCCGAACAAAACTATGTAAAGTTACTGGTGCTAGGTTTCAATGTTATTAAGTGTTGTGTTTTTGAAAAATAGCAACATTTATTTGTTTTGTGAAATTAACACCAAATATATTGCAATGTAACATAAAAAACATATTCTAAGTGTTTTTGGACAAAAAAAAATCTAATTATCAAAAGAAAAAAAAAATTGAAACAGTGTCAATTCGACAGCTAGCTGTCGAATTCCAATCAATATTCGACAGCTAGCTGTCGAATTTCTACTGAAATTCGACAGTTAGATGTCGAATATATACTGTTTCAATTTTTTTTTTTTTCAAAAAAATTGCAATTTTTATTTGTTTTGTGAAATTAACCCCAAATATATTGCAATGTAACATAAAAAACATATTCTAAGTGTTTTTAGACAAAAAAAAAATAAAAATTGCAATTTTTTCAAAAAAAAAAAAAAATCGTATACAGATCAAATTCGACAGCTAGCTGTCGAATTTGAGTTGTATCAATTTTTTTTTTTTTGAAAAAAATTGCAATTTTTATTTTTTTTTTTGTGAAATTAACCCCAAATATATTGCAAGGTAACATAAAAAACATATTCTAAGTGTTTTTGGACAAAAAAAATAAAAATTGCAATGTTTTCAAAAAAAAAAATTGATACAGATCAAATTCGACAGCTAGCTGTCGAATTTCAAATAGAAAAAACATATTCTAAGTGTTTTTGAACAAAAAAAAAAAGAAAATTCAAATTATCAAAAATATTTTCATTTAAAACAACCAAAATCCATATAAAACTAAATTAAAAAACAAGTAAATCAAATAAAATCCATCAAACAACATCCATCTAAAAAATACCATCTAAACCACACACAATCCATCAATAAAATTGCCTAAAACACACAAGACTAATCCTGTGTTTTTTTCTTCCTACTAAACACACGTTTCACAACCGCCTATGGGGCATCGGACGAGCTCGATGGCGGTGGAATTGGCCCTATCGAGCTACCTGGAGGTGGTGGTGGGGCATCCGACGAGCTCGATGGAGGTGGAAGTGGGGCATCCGGCTCGATCAATCTGACAATATCATTTAGGGTCCCCCACATGACCGTATGAGCGTCGGATGGCGCAAGTCCCCGCACCTCGCTAAGTGTACCCTTCACCAACTCCAAAATTTGTGAAAGTTGGACCTCCTTATCGGTACCACCCCCTGGACGAGCTTCATGTGGTCGAGGTCGATCCGCCTGGGGTCGGGGTGGATGGGCTCCATGCCTACTCAGTTGTAACATGCATCTGGGTCGGAACCAATTCATGTAGTCCGGCGAAGTGTCCGCCTCCCCGAGTTCAACTTCAACGGACCTCGACTCCTCGTCCAGACAATACTCCTCCCACCGATCAGAGAATCGTTTGCCGTACGCAACGAAAATAGAGTTCTGGACCGATCGACCTTTGCTAACAAGAGCTTTGTACATATCTTTTGACATGTAGGCACGACCTGGAATAATTTGCACCCGGTTGAACTGCCTCAACACTCTGTCCGGATGATATGCCTCGAAGTGGTCCATGCAACATATCATCCCACTAAACCAAGCAGAATCTGGCATCGGGAAACGATCACGAATAGCCGTATACGGTGACCATAAAACCTAGTAAAATAAATAAAAAATTAGATTTAAAAACCTACTTAAGTAGTAATAACAAATTATTAAAATGGTATTTTTACCTGATCGGGGATCAAATCATCTAATCGAGATCGCAGGTACGACGCTCGTTCAGGCGTTGAAGTAGTCTTTGACTGAGGCTCCCATCGGCTCGCTAATGGCCCCTCGAATTCCGTCTTCAATGTGCCACCCGCCAAATAAGGAAAGTGCTCGTAAATCCATGACTGAAAGAGCGTCAGCCAGCCAGCCATCGAGTTCGTTGATTTTTGTGAGGCTGACGAAAGCTCATCGTACAACCGGCAAAGACATGCAGTGCCCCAAGCATACTCGCCGATCCGATCCAAATCAGATACGAGATTTAGATACTCCACGCTTACCATGTTGCCTGTCTTGTCGCACAGTATAGTACACCCGAGCAAAAATAACAAATACGCCCGAATGGCGTATGTCCTCTTCTCCGCACTATCTCTCATGGTCACTTTGCTAAATTTAGCCTTCAACCATTCCAACTTCACCGCTTTCTTCTTGTTGACATCGTCCGGGTACTCACCTAGCAACTCGAACATCAAACTACTGGGCTTCATTTTGGAATCACGGATCAAACGCTCGCAAGATACGGTACGCCCAACAACTGGCAAACCGACCAACGTACTCACATCATCAAGTGTGATGGTCATCTCTCCAACAGGTAAATGAAATGTGTTGGTAGCTGGCTGCCATCTCTCTATGAAGGCTCTAAGTAGATGGCCGTCCACAGTGTTGTACGATGCTTGTACAACTGACATTAATCCACATCTTTGTACTACCTCTGTAATAAACGGCGCCGGCACCCAACCTTTCAAAGTTCCTGTGTGATTTCGAATTCGAAATTCTGAGCCGCGCTCCGAGCGATCTGGCCCTCCGTTCACAATATGATAAGCAATGTGCTTATCAAAATTTGTGTACAATTCCGGTATCTCGGGACCTCGGACCGGTTCGTTGCTCGAATCACCAACTTCTACAGTCGAAGGTAGAGCCGGCACCGGATTCGTTGACGAAGAACCCTCTCCAGACTTCTTCTTGGTCGTGGTCTTTTTCTTGGTCGTGACTGCTATGCCCTTGCCTCTATCGGATAATTCCTTCCTCTTCTTACGGTTCGAGACAGTCGGAGGTATACGAGGTTCACGTGGTTCTTCCACTGCAAAATAAGACACAAATAAAAATTAATATACCTAATATAAACACA